AGTTTCGACAAGACTTTTCATTGGTGGTTTATTTTGGTTACAAGAATATCTTTGTTCTAAAGTCTGGAAACTAATGATGGCCGCAAATCATGAAGAACTATGTCCCAACATGTGACATTTGCTCTACTTCAAAGATACATTGTTATCGGTCGTACTAGTTACTTCAATTGATGCTGGTTTAAAAAATTCCATGGACGTCATTGTGGATCTTTCAAAGTCCATATCTTTTGATTCAATTTTTGTTGTAGTACAGAGATAACACACTTTGTACCTTGCAACAAAATTATTATATACAAAAAAACGTCAAAACTTTTGTTGAAGAATGTATATATACATATATATATATATATATATGTCATAAACTTTTCATAACATCATATCTTCTTGTGATACACACTCTCTTATAAAAAGTATATAAAAAAAGTCTTGTGACATTGTACTCATTTTTGTCAACATTAGTTGTACATACTATTTTCATTATCAAAACTATTTTCAATTTTTTCATTTGGATATTTATTTTGAAACTTGTGTGAGAAATCCTCTCACATTTAGTCTATTTTGATATTCCTTTGAGGTTTTCTTTCAAATCTAATCTTTTAATCTATCATAAAGTTGAAATTTTCAAAAAAATCTTTCTTATCATTTAAAAAAAGATTATTCCGCATTATTTATTTATTTATTTTACATTAATCTGAAATATATTACTCGAATTTTATTTTGAACATGCTACTATTAAAACAAAAAGTTGTTATGAATAACATAAATCTAGTAACTTTCAGATAAGCGAATGTTCAACATCCATTTCAAGTATTGTAGATTTTTTTATACGAATATCTAAAAGTGTCAAAGTGCACGACTCTAAGGTGTGGATCTTGTGAACTTTAAGACTTGAAAGTTTTTGCCCACAAGCTTGTAGTGCTCGAAAAAGAGACAAGGTCTCTACTATCGGGGGTGTGGTCCATCCCCTTCCAATTGATTTTTGAGTATTACAAAACTATTAAATTATAATATGATTATTTGTATGATCAAAAATAGATTTTAATTTTAGATAATAAATCAACATTTTTATAGAATGTTAAAAAAAATTTCTTGGCAACTTTGATATTCAGTTCAATCTCATGTAATCATAAATTTATAAATTTAACTAATTCAATATATGTAATTATTATATGTATCTATCAGTTCATAAATCTAGCTTCAACATTTTTTTTTGTTATGGTGGAATTCCACAAAATTTTTAGCATAGCAAATTTTTTATTGATAGTAATTTAAAATTTTCTAAACGTATCAAATAAAATTAGAATACAATTGATGTAAAGATATTCCTGTTTATTTCATATTCACATGAGATATAAATTATACAATTTCATGTAAGTTACTAATTAGAAATTAAAAGTATATATGATCATCTTGAATTCATCACTCAAGTTATAAATTCTGCACCTCAATACTTTAAAGTGTACAAATCCAAGATAAACCTCTATGAAACTGAAATAAATTTTTGTTGAAAAAAAACAACTACTTTTGTGTAGTTTTGCAATTTCATATTTGCCACTATAATCTTCTATTTTTTTCATCAACTATACATTCAACTCAATGATCAATGTCATTTATTATATACTTTCAAACATAAATGTCAATATAAACTTATTTTTTCATTTCATTTCACAAGACAAATTTTTTTATGTAAATATAAACTTCTATCGTATAAATTAAAGTCATCGACTATATTTAAAGCATATATTAATAATATTTTGTCTTTTATGATGAACTCAATCAATTTATCAACTTTAATATGAGATATTTTGTTCAAAGTTTGAATGTCATTGTTAACATTAAATTTAAAAAAAATTTACATTATTTATTCAATTAGAAACATTCAAATGTTCAGGATTATTTATTAATTTTCATTTTCAAAATTATATTTAAACATATAATTTTGACAACTTCAATCATCATAATTAATTTTACATACTAAATATATGATAATTATAGTTTTTGTTATCAAATATCACGTAGTCAACTTTGTCATCCGATATCTGACAATGTATATTATCATGTAGTTTTAAAAACTATGTGTTAGTTTAATATTTGATATTATCAATAATTTTATTATTGATTTTATCATTTATTTATTACCTTCTAAAAATTGTTGAAAAATAAAAAATAAAAAATAAATGTTTTATCAATATGGCTTTTTTTGTTTGAAGATCAAATATATAAGCACAAATAATATATGTAAAAATAATATATTTAAATATATTTTTGTTGAATTTTTATTTCAAATAAAATCGTATTTAAATTCAAACTTTGATTTTAAAAAAGGAAATTTCTTATCCGTAAATTTTCATGAAATTAATATCTAATATTGAATCTCTTAAAAAAATGGTATGAAAGAGGGTGGTCCAAACCTTGAACAACACTCCAAACCATTGAGTTTATACATACAAACTTTGAGCACTAAGGTCCAAAGTCAAGAGGGAAACAACCCAAATAGTACTCTAAGTTCTTTAAGCAATCACTTAGTAAAATGATCTTGGAGCCAAGCAAATATCCAACATTTTACCCATTAGTTGCTTTTGCCTAGTTGACGCATCGGACAACAGTACTTGTAAGATGGCCTGATAGACTCGTCAATCGTTTTTACATGAAAATTAAAAAATTTTCAAACAATGAAGTCTATTTGAATAAAAATCTGAAAATAAGATTTGATAATTAGAAGAATTTTGAACTTTGATTTCTGAAAATATTGTAATTTTCATCAGTTGATTTCAATTTACGTTAGAACAATTTTCTTTCATTTTAAGATAATGTTAATTTAATCATATTATTTTATTATTTGATAATTTTATATATGTTGAAAAATCAGTGAAAATATTTTTTGCTATAAAAATCATTTATTAATTAAAGATTTCATTAAACTTCAAAAATCTGCTTGCATGTTCATGTTTCATACTCTATGTATTGCACCATATGAAATATTACTTTACATTGTCTACAATAGTCATTTGGTTTGACCGCGTTTCAAATGAATAAAAAATTGGACTAAAATATAGAAACATTTTATTCAAATGACTCACATTCAAAATAGTGAATTGTAGATGTTTTTTTTTCCTAAAAATCATCTAATTTGACTATAAAAAACTTCAAAGAGCGATATCAAACTTTAGATCCTTACATTCAGATTAATAAATTGAAATAAAATGTTGGAGATCAAAATTTTCACAAACTCTCTATCCATGTGTATCAAGTTTGTAGTAGATACTTCATCTTTTCCACCATTTTCTTGATTATCTTCATTGCCACATTGATATTCTTATATCTTTTGATAACCTCTTGCTGATACTTCTCATAAGTGATCTCATTCACATTCAAAAATTTACAAATTTCTTAAGACAGCCAGATTCATAGTAGATTAATCGTTGCGCTAAGTGTGGTATTTGGCAAAATGTTGATTGGAAAGAGTAAAAAGTTCAAAAAAACTTACGTGATTGAACAAGTCTCTAGGCTTGTCATGACAGCAAACAACAAGACCTTGATGTGCCAAAAAATTCACTGTTTTGATAAAAACGGTCACATAAATTAACTTTTTGATCAGCTATTTGTTGTTCGACTAACGATTGAATGTGTACTCAATTTAAAAATGCTCGTTGGACAATGATTTCCAAGTAGTCACGTGCGAAGAGTGAGCTAAAGTATGTTTACTAACATGTGTGCAAATCTTTTTGAGTTATTTTGTTTTATCTTGCAACACCTTGACTTATGAATTGATTGGAAGTTTGGGTATCGTGTGCAAATTAATATCATGAAAAGCAATACATCGCAAGCTTTGCAGGGCTGAATTCAAGCTTGGGATGCAAAGCAAATGATTGAAATAAGAATGACAAATTTTTTCACGCTATTTTGTAGAAGGATATTTTGACAATTGTGGTTGAAACAATACTTTAGATATGTGGGACTTCAAAATTCCATTCCTCTTAGAGGTGGGTAGTAAAAAACCTTTGATTATAAACGAATACCGCGCTCAAGCGTGGTCATAAACAATTACTCTGTACATTGACGCTTCGATGCATGAGAGATTAATATAACCGATACATGCAAACTTGATTACAACAACAAAACAATCACAACTATACACAGAAGCATGAGAGAATTAGAAAGTTAAATATCAATGAGACACCAAATTGTAAAGTTCGTGGTGCATTTTCCGTAATGAAAATTTCTAGTTTTTATCTTTTTTTTTTCAATATCTCCGGTTAGGAATTGCATGTCAGAGACACTTCCTTGGGGGCGTACCCCTAAGCTCTGCCACTATGCGCAATAATGTATTTCTCCATCACTAAGACCAATAAGGTGACCATGTGGCCTTCTTCATCAATGATTTGTTTTACTCAGTGAATTTTCGGAATAATATTTGCCTTGTGGAAACAAATTTTCAGAGCCCCAACCGACATAGCATTCCATGAGTTCACGACGTAATTGATAACATACAACAAATGAACAAGTCTTCTAAATTTTACGCCAACTGCTTTATGTTTTAATGTGCAAGAGTTTGCTTCTAAAAGAGCTTTGATATGATATTAGTTCAAAGATCGTAATAAGTAAGAACATCTCTCATGAGGGAAAACTTATACTACTTCAACTCAGCAATAATTACCATGTTCATTGTTTGCTTCCAAGAAGTCACATTTGGTGGAGTAAATGTTACTCTTATACCATCTTTTCAAATGGTTCAGAGTAAATAGATGGTTTTCCATCTTTTTACTCTGAAGTGTCAAATCATCATAATAGATAAATCTCAATAAATTGCATACATGGTAATGATAAAAAAACAATGTATGCAATTTATTGGGATTTATCATTTATTATTATTATAATTTGGTAATGATAAAAAAACATCATTACAGTAGATTTCTTGTGCTAGACTGAACCTTTAAAAATGTGAATGTGTAGTAAAAACTTTCACAGTAGCAACATAGTACTCAAACCCAAGCATGTGTGTTCGAGACCGTAACAACCGTGATGGAGTCGAGAGTTGTCTCGCAAAATTATCAGAATGCGTATTACATCAATGTTTATATCCGTAAGTCCGATTGAGAGACATGCAATGTAATCAAGGGAGGAGGATGTGCAGGAGTCTCAACGGAGAACAATGGCGACGGATGCTGTCTGAACGTGTGTCCGTCGATCGACCGACGTCGTCACACCGACAAGGCCACATCCGAGCAGATGCAGCGCAGTGCAACTGGGACCAGACATCGAACACTCGTTCAGCGGCCGGAGAGATAAGAGACGGCGCGTCCCGGAAAACTTGTGGCGCATCGTGACTCACGCAGGGACCGCAAATGTTCGCCTCGTGCATCGGATGCGGCCGGGACCATTCACCCACGGCTCCATCCATCCATCCATCCATCACTCGTCTCCGTCCGCTCCTCTCGACCGACGCCGTCGACGGAAGATTCCCTTCGTCTGGCGCAGGACGGCGAGCATTGAGATGGGGCTCCCGTGAACGCCGTGCCGGAGAAAGGCTCCGAGGTTTAGGCCCACGTCCGATGCGGACAAAAGAGATCCGCGTCGGCGACCAACGGAATCGGAGGGGCAATGAGTAATGTTCGTGAGCCGGGGGTAAGTATTTCGGTTTTGCGGAACTGCTCGCTAGCTCGGGATCGGGCGGGGGCAGTGGCGCACGCTGGGCTCGTGGTATGAGTACGATGGGGGTCCGCGTGGTTGGCGACTTTTTGCTTTCGACTGTTCGAGCGCAGGAATGGCGGACCGCTTTCCGCCTCGCTTGCATGAATCTATCTATCCACTTCTGGAAGGAGCTGGCAGAAAAGAAGCAACGGATTTTATCCGGTGTTCGATCTGATGCACATCCATAGCACCTGGAGGGTCCGCGACCATAATGGTTGCAGCAGCAGCAGCAGAGCTCCAGGGCTTTCAGTGCTGATCGCCTGTTCGATCCGGGGCGCCTTGTATTCTTCTGCAAATGCATCGAGCGAACCGAGGTCCGTCGTGCGGCCCGCTGGTCTTGACCGAGGCTCCTTGGCAACCTCTGCTCGTGTCGACACCAGAGGCACGAGTGAGATCCGGATTCCAGGACGTGCCGACTCGAGCCGATTTCTCCTCTCGCGTCCGTCGGCGTGACCACGGAGATGACAACCGGGAAATCTCTTCAAAAAATCGCGCACTTCTGTTTTTCACTCCCGGGTAAAATGTTCAGCTAAACGAAGTCGCATCGCGAGTCGGTCGTCGCAGACATGCAAAAGCTCACCTAGAGTCCTGATCAGTACGTCGGAATTTCATCCAAGAGGTTCCGAAATATTTTCTAACCTTTGCATGAACTTTGGACACACCGATCAGAACTTGATTTTTGACGCATAATTTCTAATTCCGACATGATTTTGGACCAAAATTATGAGCAACGCGGTCTGTCTTTGCCAGACTGCCGACTCACAATTATTTCGATAAACGTCGATACATAGTGGATCCCCATGTATGATCTCGATCCTATAGATTAGTCACGTGCCCGGAGATGTCGACTTTGATCACTTGTCTGGGAGACCAACAATATTACTCCTGGCATGAGAATTCAGCCAATTACAGTCTGAGGTATGACGAGGGGACGCCATTGTTGATGGCCTGGTTAGAGCTCTTGGTCCCTCACATCCTCGGGTGCGGCCTGAAAGTAGGTACTTCATACCCACACTCGCTTTAGCGTCATGAATGAGGACTGGAGCTAGTGCATACCTGATGTGCCTTTGCCCGACGTGTACATGGCCACAGTTGTCCCTTGTCTGGCAATCAGCCATCTCTCTCGGTGTGGTGGACTGTCTCCGCTTTTGCACATCGCTTTCGGTGTCTCCTGGAACATAGCGTGTGCAACCTGAGCATTTCCCACTGGACTGGTGAAGTACTACAAACGATTCGGATAGAGTTTACCCTGCGAAGTAAGATCTGGCGCTTCGGTATCCGAGAGAATGAATAATCCTGTCAGTGTTCAACGAAACATCGCTCACTCAGCAGCAGCAGCTTTTTCGCAGCAAATTTGACATCTTTCGCTCTCAGAATAAGTCGAAAGTTACACATGCCGGCCCATGTGCTGCGGGTGGCTTTCTACCACTTCCGTATCTTCTTTCTATCGCGAGTGTGAAGAAGCTATGGTGGAGTAGATTTAGGTCTCTTGCGTCGCTGGGAAACTGATTTTTCCACCTGTGCACTCGTAATGGCATCTGTTCGCAATGATTGTAGCAACGATTCTCTATGGACCAATTATTGACTTTACATGTATTTCTATTCGTCGAAAGTGGGGTCGTCTGTCTTGATCGTTCTCATTCGCTCAGAAACGCTCCAGTAATTTCAGTCGTCCGACGCTTTTACGAAGTGGATGGCTTCATCTGAGCTCGGTCTAGGCTTCACTTGTCGCTATTCTAAGCTTTTCATCTTTCGTGAAAAGATGGGCATCTCACAGTAGGCTTGCCATCCCGCAACGAAAGCCCTTCTTTACCTAACCGGCAAATCTCGGACCATGCTGCGAAAACGCAAACGAAAATCCTCGAGACATGGTCGGCCTGAAATGTTTGTCGGTTAGGTGAAGTATACAGCAGTAGCTGGGAACCTACTGGTGTCGACCTATGGCCTTCGCATGACTTTATTGGAGAGCTTCCATATTAAACTCAGTGGATGCTTTTTCCAACATATAACGCCAGGTCCAAGACCTTTCACAGGTTAGTATGCAAAGTCAAGCTGGGGCTGTTCCTAGCGTGAGCATAGTACCACCCAAAATACTGTAGAGTAATTCATATACGTATGTGGATTCACTGAATGGGCATTGAGTGTTTGGGTGATACTCTGCGAAATTTAGCGATGAACTCCCAACCATGTTGAATGAGTGGTGTTGGACATTCAGTCTTTTCCCACATCAGATTTTACAGGAACGTATCATGGTCTACATGGGCATGTGATGTGGATGGAATCCAATTATCTTCTTGCGAGTAAAGGAGGGCAGAAGGTGTTGACTCGAAATCGTTGCAGAGAGTATCATAGTAGGGACTTATGAAGGAAGGACAGGTGAAGACCTGGGGGTTGTTGAGCTGACAACATCATGTGAGTGGAAGATTACAGGGTGTTCGTCGACCTCGTCATTCATGCACGGCTTCAGCATATGTCCTAGGCTTAAATCTACCATATGCCAACACCGGATTACCTTTCTATCATCTGGTTTGATTCAACCCCTCAGAGACGTCACAAGAAAAATCGCTTCGTTCTCATGGAATCGTTGTAGTTGTAAAGCGTTCTTATCGTACTTTTGTGCTGTATTCCATAGATTCAAGTGTGTCAATTTGAGGCTGGTTACGCTGACTACGATATGAATGGATACGTGCCAATCACGATGGCTACCACACCACCTCTGTCGCCTGAGCAGATGGAGCAGATAGAGAGTGCCGTCAGGGAGCAAAGGTTGCGCAGCGAACAACTACAGCATCTTCTCCGACCGAACACTTGGGAAAAACTCGTACGTCAGCCTTTCTTTCACTCCGATGAGCGGAACACGAAATCTTCCCGAAAGACTTCTGCACTGACTATTTACTGAATATTTGTTGCTGCTCATAAACAATGTGAAGAGTAAGCAAGGTTCTCACTTATCGTCTTCGTCTGAAACTGCGAATATGGCGTCTTGTCTTCTCTGATGCTCGTGACCTTCTTCGTCGAATCACAGCTCTCATAGTTAACTGCTGAGACTTCTGACCTCTTTCAGGGTCATTTCTAAATTCCGCTTTGCATCTTTGGAACAATGGTCGCCATCCATTGCTACCTGGAGTGCCCTGCCGTTACATTCCAACCAACCCCTTGAGAAATTGTCCCACGTCTTGATTGATAATTTCGCAGTAACCTCCCTCAGTAAATCGTAAATTGCGCAATATGCTCAGGACCAATACATCTCCCTCAGCTCTACAATCATGTCGGATGTCTCTCGTCATTTTCTCACTCGTAGAAACTTGAGATATGCTGTCAATGAGTGGAGTATCAAGTCAGTAGAGCATATAGTTGTAGGAGGAATCTTCACAGAATCGACTATCGAGTCTATCGATTGTAGGAGAAGAACCGTACTATATCTTCCGGACATCCTAACCTTAAAATTTTGAAATCAGTGTCGGATGTGTGCTCGTTTTGTTAAACATTACAGTGAAAAGTCCATTCCTTTGATCTTTTGAAGAGCGAGGAAATCTTTGAGAGAATTCTATACAAGAGTCTCGGGAGCCAGGATGCATGCCAGTGTAGAATTTACTTAACAGCAATTCCACCCTAATTTACAGTCATCATGGGAGAGAACGTGCTCATCACAACTTGTAAACTAATCAGACGAATTGTTTGTGGTTCGGAAAAGGAAACAGGACTGGCTCTCTGGAAGAACAGAAATGACGGACCTTACAAATCAGTCCAAGGGGACAAGTTAAATCGATTTATCACCGTAGTAAACCCATTCGTGACACAGGATCTGCACTGTTAAACAGCTGAAGGGCTAAAGTTTAATCTGCCGTAATCATTGTTTTCAAGGTTGTAACAAGCTTCAGATCCAATGCACGTGTACGAGAAGAAATTTGGTGGACTGACGAACCTACATTAAGAGATAGGGACACCTTGAGGATATATTGTACCTCTGACAATTCTACTGACCCCACGTTGAAGGCTACAAAGAGTCTACTTGTTCAGTCTCTTCGTGTCACCTTCAAATTGCAAGGTTTTGACCGTTGAGCGCTGAGGTTTCGATTGATTGTTCTCCTTAATGGAACTGGCAAATTTGTTTCCCAAAAGGTTTTTCCTTCAGCATTTTCCTGCAAGCAGAAAGTCCCCTCTTCAGTCTGTATATGACCTAACGGACAGGATCATTCGCGGTGTCTGACAGAGTGCAGCAGGACTATACGCCGCAAGTTTGTGGAAGCTGTCCCAGGAGATGTTGGAAGAGAAAGCAAAGCACCTCGAGAGAAACTTGGGGAAACAGAAGGTTCACTAGATTGACCAGTAAACTTCTTGTCAAATCGGCGGCCGTCTTGGTGACAATGAAAATGAGTAACTAGTCGATCTGTCTTTAGAGCCGTCTCCTACGTTTCTTGCTGGTGGTTTATCTCAACACCAACTGTAACAAAATAATGGTCTCTCTTCATAGTTTGGGAGGTCAGTTTTTCCAGCTCAAGGCGCTGAGAGCACGCTGGAGTGTTTTGGGCTCTGTCAGAAGAATGAGAGATCAAACGCCAAAGGTTGACAACTCGATAGAAATGTATCACTATCAATAAAACGGTGTGATTCTAGACGGTTAACTGGAGGGATCTTTCTGATGGGAAAATTTCCTACCATCAATAATAAACTACAAACCGAAGATGTTCCGTGCATCTCACCATCATTCGACTTCATTTTCTCTTTGTGTCTCAACTCCGATATTACTTCATCAAGTGCTACTCCATCGGTCGATGTCGCTGAGTGGTTGCTGGGGACGGTTGTGGCGGGCCTGGGGACTTGCCACAACTGCTAACGGCACTGACTGTTCGAAAATCACGCACGAGCAACCCTCTGCGTTGTTTTCATGACTTGCGCACCCTGGAAAAATTTTCAGCAGAACCCTCGATTCTGCTCCGGCAGTCCCTGCGAAGGAGAGCCTACGCTCTCTTTGCAAGCAAGCAAGAGTCGGCCAATTCGTTTACCCACGATCCTGCATGTGCCGGCAGTCCAAGCAGAAGCTCTTCCGGTGCCTATCAGATTTCTGATGCACAATCGATCCTCCTCGGAAGCGTAGTGGCCACTCTACATCCATCAGAATTGACTGACAACGCATTGAAACCCTTGTCCGGTCTATGCAATCTATTGTTCAAATGCGAGCGGTCCGTGGTTGCTCATCTCGCTGTCAACGCAATCTGTTGTTCACTTGCGATCGGGCCGTTGTTTCTCATTCCCAAATCCGGAAAGTGCGTGGAGCACGAGTTCCTCCCGTCGAGCCTCGGCACTCAGTCGAGAAGAATCGAGCCAAATGAACGAAATGGCTTGAAACTCGAATCTAGTATCCTTCAACCGAAACAACGTAGAAAGCTTCGAATCAAAATTCGAGTGTTGGAGCACACTCCATGTGCACCATGGTGGAAGATCCAAATGGGGATCTTGGGAACAATTACTCCCCATCCTATGCCACTTAGTGGCGTCTGTGTGGTTCTACATGCGGTATCTTCTGCTGATCCGTGGCGACGATGTTATCATGAGCACCGAGGAAGAAAGTATGTGAAGAGAAATACCTGATGCCCATGAGAACCACCGTCGCCATCCAGCAGCATCCAGCGACGGCCCGATGATCTTCTCGCTCCCGACGTTCTTTATGCGATTGTACGAATTTCGGATCCGGCTCTTCTCCGACCTGTGTTTGAACCAAGCCCTCGGATCGCAGAATCACATTCCCCGGGTCCCCCGTTCTGACAGAAATGCAGGGACCAGCCAAGATTTACTCACGCAATCGATCAGTCAGTGGGTCAACGAATCAACCATTCTCTCAGTCCTCCTTTGTCTTCTACCGTGGATGGTCTCGTTGCCCCATTCCTGCCGTCAGTGGAATCTCCACTGTCGAGCAGACAGCTGCAGACACAAATATCCATCGCCTCCTACGGAACGTACGTCCAGGAAAATATCCCAGAGATTCCCAAGTATCCAGGCCCCGGCCCGAGGGGTTTAAGCTCGGCCTTCCTCCCGAGAACTCAGACCATCTGGATTGCGAAATCAAAGAAAACAGCCTCTCCTCAAACGAGACGACGTTCTCCAAATTGGTCACAAGAACGGCGAAATGGACCCGAACACGAGTCACCAAAGAGGCCACTGCCACTGGCAATGCAGCTATGCGGGGGAGGGGATGCGATGGCCATGGTTGATTAGACCGTACTGAGTTGGAGCTGGAAGGTCACGCAATTTTAGGTGGTAGCGGTGGTGGAGGTCGAGGAGGAGGAATCTGGATGTGTGTCATGCTGCTGCGGAGTAGCAAACGCAGTCTCGAGCTTTCGGTCTGGCTTCCAGGGATCCCGCCATCCCACACTGCGTCGAGTTGAGGAGGGCTGGCGAGCCGTAGGTCAAATGCTGATGAGGGTCAGCCTTGCATATGATTTGCGTCTCAATTAAGGTAGAGAGCAAGGCGACAACTTGAGCGAAATCAGGAGGTTGAACCCCTGAATTGTGCATTGTTTCCACTTCACATCAAGACAAAATGTTTCAGCGCAGCACAGAACGCGCTCACATGGTGCTAGAGTGCCTACAGTTGCGCAGTCTGATCGCTGCCGACTTTCTCCGTGCCTCACACTAAGGCAAGAAATTTATTTAGGGCTGAAGGGCTCGCTTTAGATTCTGGTGATAGGTTTTAGCAATTTCTGCAGATTAGCCGCATCATCCCCATCATCAGCAGCAGCAGCAGGAGCAGCCTCAACTATGCCATGGTGAATTAGGAGATGAAGAGGACGTAGAGAAGGAAAACGAAGACGATGAAGTAGAAGTAATAGCAGGAGCAGGAGCAGGAGCAGCAGGAGGACAAGGAAGCGCAAGAAAGGCGCAGATTGTTTGAGGAGGAGGAGATCAGGACAGGAGGGGAGTTTATATGCAGATCAAACCGGATCGCATGCAGGAATGCAGGAATTGGTGAGGGGATGGGATGAGATGCTCATTAGGACGGTTCAGAAATTAGAGGGAGGGAGAAAGGAGCAGGCCGCTCACGGGCAGGAGCGCAGTCAGTCAAACAATGGTCTGTCCTCATCGTCACCATCACCATGATCCGTTCTAGAAACGCATTCTCTTCTGCTTCCACCACTTCACTTTCTTCCATTCCATTTTTGTTCGTTCCTTGTTCTTTTCTTTCGTCGGTCGTTGCGTTTGTTCCTTCGATCATGCAATTCAGTTCATGAAATCCAGTCCACATTCACTTCCGCTCCCACTTCCTGACTGTGAGCTGTCCGTGACCTAGTCGAAGATTGCCTGTTGCTGCTCGACAATTCACTTCCTTCCCTCTCTTACCACCAACATCACAGTCGTACCGGACACCAACCACACATAATTCAATGCTGGGAGTCTGCGCATCAAGATGGTCCGGAGAGACCACGCCTCTCTCCGCTTCTTCTGGTTCTCCCACAACAGGATTGTTGTCTCGTATCTCCTCCCCTTCGCCTCCGTCTTAGAAGTTTCCTCACATCTGCTGCAATTGGAAGTGTACGAAGTGCGTGAGGAGCTAGTTAAGGGCTTTGCTGATTACCGATCAACAGCGACACTTCTGGATCTGTCGCGGTTGCTATCTGGCTTTATCAGACATATATGTCTCGTTCCGTTTCTTCTCTCTCTGGTAGAGCTTAATGGTGAAGTGGTCGTGGATTGAGATTCTTGGAGAATTGTGTGAAATAGAGAGGGAGAGTTGGTAGCTAGCCTAGAGAGGGAGGGAGGGAGGGAGGGAGCCCGATGTCGCAGGCTGAAAGCAACCAAGACACAAAACTAGACCACGCCGTGTGGCGAAACTTACCCGAAGATCTAATTCTCATAGTGCTGGCGAAACTTCGCTTTCTGTCTCTGGTGCAATTGCGCTCGGTGTGCAAGAAATGGAATGAATACATCATCAGGCGAGGGCAGGGTCTCAATCCGGGCGAGTATCAGGTGTCGGTGCCCGTGCCGGTAAAATGCGAGCCCGGGAGGTTCTGCGCCAAGCAGCTGACCGTGTACAATTCAAAGACGAGCAAATGGGAGAAACTGTCGCTGGCCTTCACGGGCCGGATGCCGGGGCGCGAGATGTCGGGCTCCTACACTCTGGCTGCCACGGACGGAGGGCTGCTCTGCTTCCGCGACTCCACCTTCGCCAGCTTCGTGGTGTGCAACCCTCTGACCAAGCGCTGGAGGTTTCTGATTCCGCCCAGCTCGTGCCTGCCGCCGTCGCCCAAACGCTGGGAGGTGTGCCCTTGGGACTGCCAGAACAATGCGCGAGTGTCCGCGCTGTCGAGGCTCTCGGATTACATCCTCGTGGGCTTAATCGTCGACCCGCAGATCGGAACGTACAAGCTCGTGATGGCTGGAATTCAGCAGAATAGCAAAACTCTGGTTTACAACTCGGCGCTGGACCTGTGGCACATTGGAGCACCTGTGCTCCTGCCGCCTCCCCCTTTCAACCGACAGTTTCGCTGCGTGCAGTACAATAGCAAAAGCGTGAGCCTGAATGGAAATCTGTACTGGCTTATCTCGGAAGGACATGATTCGATGAGCTCGGTGTCGGTGGTGAAGTACGATTTGGACAAGGACTTTTGGCTGGCCACAAATGCCGCAAAATATCCCCGAGGCAGCTTGGTGCGAAACTATCGGGGAACTATGTCTGTGATGACTCTGGACAGAGCTCGCATTCCCAGATATTGGGGAGGGCGCCAATGGTTTCTCCAGGTGCACGAGACGGAGTCGAGGTTTTGCCTGATAAGCAGACGAATCTCCGAGTACTCCATCTACAAGATTGAGGGCATGCCTAGGTTTTCCGCCGAGTACAACCAGGAGTACCACTGCTGTGTTGGTCAGGGAGACTTCATCTTCATCGTATACAAGATTCTTGCAGGCAACAGCCAACTGGGATACAGATTAGTGAACTTTGATGCATTTATGAAGAAATATGATGACTTACCTCATTTGTGCAATCCTCCGAGACAGGATCAGTCACTGAAGTGGCCACCCATGTACACCGATATGGTGGAAACGGAGACCTGGTGTGGTTTCATACCTTCTCTGAGAGCCATCGTGTAGACAGGTAGATCGACAAGCAATCGAACCGACAGATGATTGATTGGACATAGAATTCTTTCGTCATTACAGTGAAATTCCGAACCTGTCCGGCCAGAGGAGCGGCGGCGGCTGCAGACGCACCGAGAAGAACAAAAGAAGGTGCAGAACTTATGCCACCATTAAAATTGTAGATAACGCGCTGATTGTGTTCCACTCGGCATGGGGAGTCTTGTCCAGAGTTTGCGAAGAAAGCACAGCACAAATGGCACTAGCTGTTCTTGAAATCTCAACCAGTGGTAAAATCTGTTTGTAGCACTCGTTTTCTTCCCTGTCTTGCGTAGTTCTTGTTTTCTCTGTAGTTACTATCACGAGGTTAGAGTCTCCGTGGGCTGCTTACACGCTTGTAAGGCCTCATCGGAAACAACGTCAGATCAAAAGTCATATTTCCCATGGAGATCCAAACGTTGTGAGGTTGGAGACTTAGGCAGACGATCAGCAGGCATGATGATGAGTGCCCTTTTCTTCATCATGCATAGCAGGAGATTTCTCTGAAGCCCATCAACCGGTCCACAACTTGTTCTCCAAATTATGTGGATCACAATCAGGTGTAAGGCACTTTCAATGAGCTCAGGACATCAGTACTAACCTAATTAGTCAGTCAATCTGTCAAGCATGCTCTCTCTCTCTCTCGAAGTTTGTCGAACATCAGCAGTTTAGATGAGACGAAATCGCAACGACTAGTGAGTGTATTACTTGTGTGCTATGCATGCATACTTTCCAAACGCCTCGATAAAGATGTGATTGTTCACCGCACAATTCTGACTTGTGCACACACCGTATACATGACTTGCCTCGAAATCCATTGCTCGTTGATATTCTCTACTCGTGCACGTTTGGTTTGCAACCAGAGTCTCCACTTGTACTGCGTAGCATCATATATTTTCCGCCAACGGACCCGCCCATACGTCAAAGCTGGTTTGATGTTAGGGAGTGAGACGGTACACGGGCCTCCTCCGGACCTCCGTTCGGGCCAGGAATTGTGAAACACAGCAGTCAGCACCAAGATTAGCAGTTGGACATGCACGTGTACGTCCGACGGCTGAGATGCTTTGGAATCTGACTTATTGCAAGCTTATCTTCGTTATTCTCGTCTTTTGGGTTGTGAATGTTCGCTTGTGTGCCTGGTGTACTGGAATGCATACGCTGTCGATTGAGCTCATTGTACGTTATACTTTTCCATACGGCACTTGTGTGGTGTGAGGGCCATCCGATTCTCTTCTCGCTCTGCAATTGAAATTGTTAATTGTTTATTAGGAATGTTTGGACTATTAGGATGTGATCATGTCTCCTGGAAGTGATGGAATCGGTGCAGAATTGGCCAAGAAAATACTGGTCTCAAGTCTTTCGCTCACCCACAACCCTCATCAGCACTTCTGGTTTGGAAAACCAATTGTATCCGGGCATGTATTTGAGTTGACTGTCAGTCTCAGTTGATCTGGAAGTGCGAGGAAGACGTACACGGGTTGGAACTTTGAACCATAAACACGAGTTCACACAGAACTTTTCTTAGATCACTGATTGCAATCTAGTTGTTTTTCTCGGCCTCCTCAACCATGCACTTAATGCAAACATTCCTTAATCTCACATCATAGGATTACTTGTTTACTCGTATATAAGACAGACGTATTCATATTAATCATTAACACTCCCATATCTGGATTGAGTTTACGCAAATCCAACGAACAATCCCACGATCAGTGCATATTTATTTCCGATTTGGAAAACAATTAGTGATGAAAATGTACCAGTAATACTGTATTGGTGAAATAAGATTTATCAAAGAGAAATTTTTATTAAATCAAGCTTGACACGGTGTGTGACGATAGTATTCTAATGAGTTATGTGCACTTGTAAATCTTATAAACTTTAAATATCATATCATACTTATTTCTTTGTCCGTGTTTGTGTACACTAAACGTTGCATATATCAGGTTCATGTTGAAATGTTGCAAAGAAGAGTGGAGGGTGATTGTTGCTGCTGAAGTTGTTTATTAATTGTTGCGAGTAAATCCACGCCCGAATGTTGTACTCTCTCTATACTCTCCCTTTTCTACAACAAAAAAAACAGATTTTAGTGTACATAATAAAACACGATGATAAATTCAGGTTGAAGATTGTGCACCCGTATTCAAATCCGGAAAAAATTACTAGTCTTTAATGTCATTTTTGTGTTATACTTGTCCGGGAGCAAAAAACTAATTCAAAACGCGATGTTATTTCTACTATTTAAGCATGGAAATCAAGAATTTGTTACGATAATATTATCCATCATCTTCGTATCCAATATGCTAGTCAATGTACCATATATCATAGAATCATTTTCAACTTGTAATTCATTTTTTGAGGATTTTTCAGTTTTTTTTGAAAATTTGATCAAGATCCATTTTCCTTCATCTTTCAAAAAGAAAAATGAAGTAAGAATAGAATATGAAATTGAACAACATGTTGTGGATACTATTGTTGGAAATATAATGTATCATTTAGAGGAGCAAAAAGATGATAGTGAAGGAGGAAATGATGTAGATGAAAATCATAAGTTTGATTGTATGATCAAAATTAATACTCAACTAGTTCGGTGTCGTCAAGTAGCAACAAAATCAAGAAAAAAGCATTATTATTATTTCATTGTGTTGAATCAAAGAATTTTACCGCAAATTATTCTTACTTAGTCACAATACTCAAGAAAAAGACAACTATGTTTTGTTTGGCTATGTGTTATGTGTTCAGCGCGGAACATCATTTTGTATGGCAGCCAAATTTATCAGTTGCACGTATGATGTATTAGGTATTCTTGGTTTACAAGTGTGTTCTCGTCATGAAATTAGTAATTTTGTTTGAATTATCTACGTTGTCAATGTGCAAGAAATTGCCAACTTTCTTTGATGTTCTTGGGCATTTTTATTAGCATTCGACTCAGAGACACATCAGAGCATCTCATTCCTTGACATTTGTTTCTGGATCTTCATTCGTAATTGTCAGGCTATTGTTAATTTATATGATTGTGCACTTTCAATGTTTGACTGTCATACAAATGATCTCATGTTCATGATGGTGAACAAATTCTTGACAATTCTCTGTCCAAAATGAACCATGCGTCTTCTTGGTTTGACAATTGATGGAATCCGCAATATGACAAGCCGAGTTAGTGATGTTGTTAATCGTCTTGCCGACATGATGCACAAGAATTGTTCTTTGATTTGAATTTCATGCTGAGCGCATCAAAAAAATCTTCTTATGAAGGAGATAATGAACAATGTCATCAAAGAACGATTCTTTTCAATGATAATTTGAATTATTACTCATCTAACACAACAGCATTTGATACCCAAACGACATGAACTTGTGTTGTTAATCGTTGACTTTTAATGGATAATGTTATCGTTGGAGCTAAACAAAGTAGCCAACTTCCGTTCTAACTCAACTTTGGTGGGTTGCAAATCTTTCTATGCATCATTTCACCATTCGAGCAGATGTTGATTTTTGTGCTATTCAAGGTTTTACTACTCTTGTACTTCAATAGCAAAATGCACTGGATAATCTTGTCGCAACTATCATTGCCAACGTTGGAGTGATTGGACCGCTCAATGCATATTAAATTATGAATATCGACACATCAATTCAAGTCAATGTTAGTTATTATGTAGTTGTTCTGTCTAGTGTTCAAGAAACTTCTTTTTGGTCTAGATTCTTGGATTGAAACCCTACTTAATGAAATCAATGAGAACGATCTACACAATATTGTCCTTACTTATGTCAATGCCTACTACCGGATAAATGAAATTTGTGCTTATTGAGATTCAAACAATAATTCAATGACAGATTTTGATTCTATTGCTCATGTGCTACCACATGAACTTGTCAAGTTATATTCAGTAGATTTTATTCAAAAAATTTCACAACATGTTTTTTGATTGGAGCATTCTTATTCATGAGATTAGATTGATCTCATATGCACAAAGCTCTAATTCATGTTCATATATGTGAGCAAGTGATTAAGTGTGTCGTCGATTCATTTTCCAACCGTTCAAGTTTCCAAGTATGAATGATATTCATTCAATGTTTGATTTTTAAAATTTGTTGGAATGTTGTAGTGTAGTTGTAATGTTTTTTTCTAGAACTAATATGGTAGAGTCTAGCTTTTCAATTTTGTGTTAGGATGAAAGATTTCTTTTGCAAAAAATTACCAAACTTTGGATTAGAAGTAGTCATGCAAGCAAAACAATTTTGGTTCATAGAACAATTTGAACATTGATAAATGTCAAGAAAACAACTTGTATTGAAAATTGACTAAATTATTTTATAAATAGACAATATTAACCTAAATCAATCTTTTTAGAAGACTAAGTTTACCTAAATTGAGTTTTTGGAAGTGACTAAACTAAATTTAATTAATTTAGTCTGATGAGTACTACAACCATGAACGTTTATATCATATCCACAATCTGTACAATTCTATTGAATTATTATGGCTACGCTATATTTCCTATTCGGACAAAGTAGTTTTTTTATGCATTATTATTGCAATACAAGCGTGTTTGCTACAAATCAAACTTATGTGCAACCATCTTCTTGGCGTGTCATGGTCAATAAGCGCGATTATACATTATCTTGTTCAATTTTCAAAAAGAATGGGAGAGAAGTGCAATTGATCGCTGGTCAAATTGTGAGTGAACCTGGATTAGGTCTGAGTTTTAGGCAGGTCTCATAAGTTTTGAGATTTCTTAAAATAGACATGAAAATCTCAAAGTTATGTCTGTAGTGATCTCGAAACTAAAACAATTTGCGCTGGAGATCTCAACATTTTCCAGTATATTCAGAAGAGAATGTCTTAGAAAACGTTTAATCAATGTGATAGAAAATGACGAGCACCATGAGTCTGTACTATGATTTCATCTTTCTACTCGAAATAACCCCAAATAGTACTGGAACATCATTGACGATATGGCTGGAGGGCCGTTGATGAGGTACCATCGGATGTTTTGAGTTTCCCGGGTCCATCAAGTAATTTACCCCCATTATTTGGGATTATCAACTTAGACCTTCCTGAAGAACTATCACGCTCTTGGTGCTCACATCCCATTGTACATCCTTGTTCCGATTTCTGGACTCGTATTCAAGAGTGTGAATATCGTTTAAAAGCCATTCAAGAAAAGGTGGGGGAATGAATCTATCATGTTCATGAAACAATTATGATTGTACAAGGGAGTGGGTATTCTATTGGTTCAACGTGTGGTTTTTTAAACTTCTTATCCAAATTCGGCAAAAAAATTTGGGGGGTTGGGCGAGTGCCAGATAGAGCCTAACAAACCAAACAGAAATAACTGTTAGTATGAATTTTCGTATCACAAACGAGCGAAGAATGGAAAGCATGTAAGATTTCATAATCGTACAGAGAGAAATGAAGAGTATTTTCCAAGCCAAGCAGAGCCTCATCCTACAAACGCTAATGCCAAAGCCAAATACAACAGCAATTACCAAGGGTCGCTCATGACTAAAAAAAAGTTAGTGTTGTGATCATCTCAAAGTTAAACCTTCCGTGGTCTCAAAACTTACGAGGCCTGGTTTTAGGCGTCTTTCTAATCTGAGAAAGCCGAAATAACCAGTGAATGAATCATGGCATTTCGCAACTTTAACGGTAATGTTCCTGGAATGACTCGTGTCTAAAACTGCTCTACCAATACAAGGACTAAATCAGTGAAATGACACCAAATGCTCGGTAGTGAAGGAAGCTAGAGCGGTGCAGATGCCAAATGGCAACATAAAGCGAGTCCTGCGTGCGAAGTTGGATAGTCCCACTCCGCCGGAATAAAAATTGGATTTTATACTCCTGGAAATTCGTACTTACTGTCGTATCTCTTTCTATGTCCTCAAACTTAAGGACTCTGAGCCTTGAGTCGACGAATATCTGGTGAATGTCACAATGACAAAACCGCAAGCGCAGATGCGATGGCCTTGTAGTGACCCCGAGACAGCCAACGATTGGGCGGGCCTGTCACCGTGTCCAGGACACGCGACGCGAGTGGAAAGGACAAGACCTACTGCACGCATCTCTGAGAGACCGAGACGTGTAGGACACGAAGAGAAACACCGCTCGCTTGGCTCTCGTCCTGTCACGGACTGCGACTGACTGAGTGTCAGTCGCCGTCGCCGTCTCTGCCTGCGCCTCTGTCTTGCTGCACCTTCTCTCTAGCACGCAGTAGCGAGCACAGTGACCGAGCTCCGATCGCCCGAGAGATCCGGCCGCTTGCATCCTGGAAGAGCATGGTTTCTTCTGCGATCGAGCAACTAGGAAAGAGTGAGATTTTCGGTCGGTGAAAGTGTGAGATGTAAATTGGGCAGGGGAGGTTTTCTGGAATCATACGGAAGTAGCTGTGTTTGATTGCTCAGTTGGAGAACCAGGAAGTGGCGACTTGAGCGGACGGCGGGCAGAAAGATTACAGAAAGATAGCAATAGAGAAAGAGGAGAAGCGAGTGAGTATTTAGGTACGGTGGAAATGGTCGAACGGTATCGACGTGACATAAATCAGGAAGAAGTGTGAATTTCGCAGAGCGAGGATTATTTGCTTTGAAATCGATCATTTTCAGCATGACTGCGTTTGCTACAAAAGTGTCTTGTTTGGAAGGCGTTTGTAGTTGTATCTCTCAGTAGCTTCAGTTGGCTTTTACCAATTTGCTTTCAGTCTACAAAGGGTCGATTGAGCTACACCGATCACTTTTCGTGCACTTAGTTCTTTCCGATCGCTCTGAACGTCCATTGGTAATTGGCATCTCGGTGATAACGCAATAATCGAGAAATTCGATTGAGCAGCCCTCTGGTGATGGGAAGATTGCATAGTTTATCGATGACAGAGCATGAAAATAGGGCGTCCAATCTGTTGGCGTGCTGCTAGGCCTTCTCTCTTGGAAACAACTAGAGTTGTTCTTGTCGCGCTGTGCAAATTTTATTTGTAAGTTTACAATTGCGCCATCAACTGCACATGAACACTATCTGCTTTGCAATGCGTGCAGTCAAGGACTAAGAACCGAAGGTACGACATGGCAAGCACCGAAGAAAAGCAGTTGGAAGGCGTAGAGAAGGGTGGACTGGAGTATCTGTCAGATGAGACGTGGGTGCCCACGAGCACCGTCCACGCTCCGCCTCAAGTGAAGGTGACGGAGCCTAGTGGATCGTTCTGTCGAATCGAGTCACGGTTCTCTGTGTCTTTGCCTCCAGACGATGTCTTCGACATAATTATTGACCCCAACAACAGACGTGTTTTCAAGAATGTCAAGGTCAGTTCGACATCCTTCTGAGATAATGTAGCATTACGTGTGCATGATTGTATGGAAGTGATGATTCCCTGTTGGGCCTGCTCAATTTGTTCGAGGAGATAATGTTTTCATACTCATACTTTGTTATATGCCCGAATGAGGTGCGCTGTTGTTGGTAATATGGGATTCTGTATTCCACTGTCGATGGTGTACAGGGATTTCTAAACGTTGATAGCGTGACAGGAAGTAACATACCGAAAAGTCCTGGAAGATGATGGCAATCGACAGCTTGTTGAAGTGGAACAACTCGGAAGGTGGAAATTCTTGGTGTTCTCTGGCACTTTTGCTTGTCGGGTGTTCGTCGAGCAAAATCGGAAAGAACATACTGTGAGTCCCTATTCTACCTCATCCTTTAACCAAGAATCGACAGCTTACATCACCTGCAAGCCTGAAGGAAGAGATTGTTTGTGCTCGTATTTACCGAGATTAAGCCATGAATGTGGATTTCCGTTCAGATTAGAACTAGATTGTGTGAACTCAGGAGGTGGCTTTCTTGTCGCGTTTTCATATTGGAAGAGAAATCATCAATTACCTTCAATGATCGGGAGAGGAAGGAGTGTGTTTTTTTTTTAGGGAAATCCCTTTTCTATTACATTTCAATGATGAGTATCTTTGCTATCAGCCTCTGTTTCAATTGAACGTTATACCCTCCAGTTTTTTTGTAAATTTGTCCTGATAATACAATAGGTCCTTCATGGTGAATTGGTGAGAGATCATGTATTCTATAAACTTTGAGGTATTAAATGTTAGGGTCTAGGTTATCTCATAAGTTTGATCCCCGAAGTCATCATTCTCTGCAAGTTTGCTATTCTTCCATGTTAATTTGAACACAGTGTCATGTTACAAGCATGCAATAGCGCCGACTGTGCTCCTTCATGACCCTACGTATTAAGTTCTCAGATCCATCCAGATTGTCACATGTTTGGGTGAAGGCCTATCCCATTGTTTCATTTTATGTTTAGAGGAATTTTTGCTGAACCTTCCTCCTTTCTCTTTCCTGTCAGATGCACTATGACCTGGCTCGGCAAGGAATGATGAAAAAGTTCCAGGGATCATGGAAAATCGAGCCCAAGTATGAGACAGAGACTGGTAGCTCTGCATCAGAACGTGGGGAAAAGAGTGCTAGCACAGGTAGACTTATAGGCTCATGGGTCAGTCTCCAACAAACTGTGCAGCCAGCTTTGATCCCACCGTGGCCATTGAGCAACTACGTTAGAGGGGTTTGTGGACAAATTATAAAGGATGTATGCGCCGATTTGCAGTTAGAAGCCATACGGCTGGCCGAGCTGAAGGCCAAATCCGAGGTCAAAAGCAGTTCTTCTCAAGGCAAGGAAGTCGAGGGATACCCAAGCAAAACTGATGACAAAGAAGAAACCTTGGAACAAGTACAGAATACAGAGTAGATTATCCCTCGGTCACATGCTCAGGACACGGTTGGAGCATGGATTGACCTCGGACCATGGCGCAAATGCATCCACTCGCTCTTCGACATGTACAGTTGTTCCTCTTATATCGAATGATTCTCTGGTGTAAAGTATTCATTGTATTCGGAATTTTCTTCACAATCCGATTCCAGTAAGTTAATGTTATTCCCAGAAAGCGCAGACGTCGTCGATCCAGGTACCTTTCAACTTAGAGCAGATGTGGTTTGATACTTGCGTGGACATATCAAGAACACCCCCTGCATGATGCATGTTTCTGAATTCGCAACTAAAACGGTAAAAGCCTCTTCCTGCTTAGGCCTCATGGTATCAAACTTACTGCCGTCTGCTATCTTTTATGAGTCGATGTGCCCAAGTTTTTCGAGTGAAGAGGTCACATAAGTCATGAAGGAAGCTGCAGAACTTGGAGGAAAAACTGGTGGTCTGCTAGGAGGATTGAGATATCCTGCAAGTCTTTGGATCTTTTCCTTCGGATTGAAGACTTAACGACGAAGTTACAGCATTGGCACTTCGGTTAAAGTAAGTTGACGAAGGTTTTGTTATGTCGAGCTGCGAAAGGCATGAAGGTGGAGTTACCTTGAAAAGGTAACTCCACATGCACACACACCTTGAAAAGGTGTGTGTGCATTGGCAAACATAAGTTGTCGGAGTAAGTCGGAGGGTTGTCTCTGTGAATTTTGTGCCAAAATTCACTATGTGCTACAATGTTTGGCTCAAAAGTGACCTTGCTCACTTTTGATGACAGGCAAAACTATGTTAATTTACTGTTTTATCAGTAGATAATTTATATAAACTTTGATAAATTTTAAAAATTTTGTTAAAAAAATATAGTATTTTCCATTTTTAATGTTTTGAAACATAAAGAAGAAACACTTCAATTTTTGTAAATGATATAGACAGTTTATTTAGTTTATTGTTTATTTAGACAGTTTATTTAGACAGTTTATGAAGACAAACCTATTTTAGAAGTGTAATAAAAGTTATATTAAAGATTCATTTGAAAGATTCATTTTTCGGTTTTTAAAAAATTTAAATATACAAAACCACACTGTGGAGTAGTGAATGTTTATTTTATTCCAAAACTTTAAACTAAAAAATTGTCTAGCAAACTCTTGAAATCCGGCGTCTTGAAATCTTGACTCTAGCGCTCCAAAGAACTATCGACGCATCGGGAGATACGCTGGACCAGACCAAGAAGGCAGCGCAGCGGCCGAGAAGTATCATCGTGCAAATGAAAGATCCCACGACTTTGGTGTTGCTCTTCATGCTGAAATGTGAAGTTTTTGTCGTCGCTAGGTTCAGCAGAATGCCATTGTTTGAACTCAAACCTGTTTCACACACACAAGTTCACGCTTCGTCTTTCACGTCTTCAATTTCTCCTGACGCAAGGGCGAACTAAAATAATACGGAGTTTTTTCCCGAAATACGTTGAAGTTAATAGCAACATTACAACGACCCTTCCAGTGTCGAAAAGACACAAGCAGTAAAAGTCGTCACTGTCACATACGAATCCATCCGTCAACGGGCAACGACATCAAACTGAACCCGTGTGAACCTGAGTCTCACGCATGAAACTCAATCTAGCATTGCAAATGATGCAGCCGATTCTGGCTTCAGAGCTCTGGTGTCTAATCAGCATCCATTGAAGAATCGCTCTCACAATTCTAGCCTCCAAACAACATTCTGATTCGAACGAAACTGAACAAGTTCTGTAATCCAAAAGTCCTCACGAGGTCGTAAAAGCGTGCCGTCTGCTGTTGGGTTGCTTTCCTCAAAGCGTGGTGGATCGGATCGTTGTTGTCGTCGTCTTTCTTGGCTGTGTGACAAATGGAATCGCTTTGTGATCGGCATCAAATAGTTGCCACCGAGAAGTTCGTCTCCTCTTCGGAACGATTTGACAAGTGACTTCGCGGGTCACGCATTGAATAGTGTGCTACCAATTCACGGCGAGCTTTATTTTTTATCCCACGGATATATTGCTCTTCAGATTCATGTATCCGCACACATAACGGCAGCATAGACCTTCTTCTTCGTGAAAGATCCGTACACATAAAAGGGGACAAGTGGCTAGAAACACGTTGGAACTGACTTCCGAGAGGTACTATAATGAAACTTAACGGAGCCTAGAACAAGATACTAGAGAGCGACACGGACAAACTAATTTACAACATCCAAAACATTTACAAACAACGAGACCATCCCGTGGCTATTCAACTACTTTGATTATTCTTACATGAGAAGTGAGCTATAAATTTTTATGTAACAATGAAAAAAATTCTCATCGAAATAGTGTAGATGGTAATTCAGATAATGTAATACACATGTCCACTAGTATGATAAATTCTAGCTCATTCTTTCATAATTAAGAAAGAATATGTATTTATAGTTCAATATATTTCAAATTGTTGATAGACATGTTTATAATCAATGACCTTCTTGCTACTGCTGCATATATCATCTATTTTGTCACTCATAAATTCTATCATGGCTCGATGACCATCATGTACTGCAACAGTAACTTTGTCTTCCCCAACCAAGTACACATTTGTCTTAACTCGAATCCACTGCAACAAATATTTCAGCTTGCTATATGTGAAGAATCCATCTTGACATGCACTAAAGTTAAGATATTCCAAATAATTTAGGTTACATTTTTCACATAAAACAAAACATCCGCCGAAACAACATTCAATGTACTTGTTTTTCAATGTATTTCTTGAGCATTTTTCTTTTTATACTAGTAGAAATATCAAGACGGTTGCTTCCATGAACGTATATATGTCAAATTCACAGGGTAGGCCCCATAGCTTCATGGGTGGAATATGTCCGAACTTCATGCTCTAGGTCAACCGGTCTACATACTGTACTCACTCACAAGAAGGAGATCCTAGAATTACTGTCAATTAAAAAGGTCCCCCGTGCCGTCTGTACGTGAAAAAGAATGCATAAAGCTGTGTTTCCTATGCATTGCAGTCTTTCGTAGAGCTCACACAATGCCGCCTTTCCGGTCCACCAGTAGGAGCTTGGAGCTTAGAGCCTTGCTCAGAGCCATTCAATAGTCGGCTACCAAAGAAGTTGACTTTCTGTCAGACGGTTCGTGTCCCTAGTGTGTTGGCTTGACGACTTTGGTCAGCAACGATTTGATTGAAACTAAATTGTATCTTACTGTGCAGAAGTGCACAATCCGATTGCATTCAATCAGTGATGTCCTCACCGGCGAGAATTTATAGATTGCGATAGTGTAATCAGTGAGATGTCCCGTTATCCGCAGCCCGGACAGGATTCCTGTAGCCGATGAGTAATATATCTGTGGTAGAAGCTAGCACCAAGTAATGAAGCTAAAGGATGGGAAGACCCCATTTCGCCGTATCATTGTCAGAAGGCAACAAGATCAGGGGATTATCGTCTTAACGTTGTATTTAATTTCTCTTCACGATACTTTTTAATGGACGTGGTAAACTCTCATGCAGATGCTACATGAAGGAAGGACGTGGATGTCAGGATAAGAAACCTCACCCACATTGCAAGACTTAGGGTTTAGACTGCCAGTTTTTTTCTACATGCTCCACCCTTGTATTCCCAGGTCGGAGAAAAACAGTCTGACCTGATCTCGGCCTGAAGACGGACCTCTGATTGCTCTGGCCTGATCAGATGTTTGCACTTGCCAACCCCCTCATCTAAACCCCCACCCCGGAATCCATCAAACAATGTTTGAAAATTTGACAACGATTTTGTTCCGGTGAGTCATAGTCTCCCAGAAAACTTGAAATGGTGAAAGGTATCGATTTACAGACAAGCGAGGGTTTTGCTACCTCTTTGTCTCTGTGTAAAACATGCAAGAAGAATGTCATCTGGCTTTACACATCACTCCAGTCAAATGGAGGGATGGTAGTTTTTGTTTGGTGCTCTTTTCTTCTGTATGAAACTTCACTTGTTCTGTCTTGTAATGCACACGGTGTTTCGAATCACACTCATTACTGGCAGTCCCTTAATAGGATCTGAGGTTCCTGGAGAAACTTGTGTGGTATTATGTAAGGGTATCATAAAATACACCATTCCATGTAAATATGTGTTTTTTCTTCTTCTAATTTCACACAATTTTATTTTTTTCTCGAGGTTTTGGTTATCTAAAAGAGATGGCTTTTAACTGCTGAAAAAGAAGATAAAGTATCAATGAATGCTCTTTGGCCTCTACCTCATCACTAGACATTTGAATCATAATGATATGTTGATGCTAAGAGATTTCTTTTCAGCACATGGATTATGAGCATGCTATTATAGTTCTTGAGAGTAGAAGTAACATCATAGAAATGCAAAAAGAAATGTGGTTTGAACTCTAGTTAGCATCCACAAAAACACTCACTTGTTTATTGAAAACGTTCAGAGCGAAGAGTTTGCTCGTAGCGCTAAGTAGTACAATCAAACCACCTGAAAGTTCAGTCCGGCCGAAAGTTGACTCCCGTCAAAACCCTAAAATTGACATTATCTCATACATAAACCCTAACAATCTTTCCCTTTAACACATGTTAGGTCACAACAAACTCCGTAATCTATATAATTACTCTATGGAAAGTACAAGAAATAAATCTAACAAAATTGCAGGCTAGATCAAATCTGATCGCATGCATGTGGACAGATGGAATAAAATCATCGTCATGACGGTTTTTCCTTTATCACCGTTGCGTGAAAAAATCACCCGACGAGCGAGCATACTCTAGTATTTAAATTTGACACATTTTCAGTCTATGTGAATTAAATGTTGGTGATCACCACATTGTTTGTCATTTAGTCCCCATGATCATCATCAAGCGCACATGCGCTTGCTCACTCACTCATCCACAATCTATGCAAACATGCATAGCGTTTGATTGATTATCCGTCCTCGTGGAACAAACTTAAGCACACCCGCTAAGATTAGAAGAATCCATGACAGAATGCAATTGTCTGTTGCTGACCTCAGAGAGTGTGTTTGGAACATGAGTTTGAGGAGTAAATCTAGTCTTCTAGAACCATATGAAAATTCTCATGAAAAAATTCTATTCAATCCAATCAATGATTTCCTATACTTATGTTTTTCACGTAATTGAATGCTACAGCTGAAAAACTCATACTTATTATTATCTTCTTTTTTTCTCAAACTTCTAGCATAACATCTAGAGAACTTTGTCATCACTAATAACACCTCTGATCTTTAATATAAAAATCTAGAATAGCTTCACTATCATTGATAATATTTGAATAATTTTACCAATAATAACATATTGGAGAAACAACTTCAAATCTTGTAAATTTTCACAAGTGAAAATATATTAGTTCCAATATTTGAATGTTGTATGCATAATTACAAAAAAAAAGTAGAATAATTTCAAAAACAAAACCATTACATACATCTGATTATACCATAAACAATCCAATTCAATGCATGTTAAAATCACTTATCAAAAAATATCTTAAATAGATTAGACTATGCTTTTTTTTCAGATAATTTATCACAATTTTTTTATTCTCTTTGCACCATGACATTTGTCAACAATTTTTTGTCTTTTCAATGTCAAGCCATTTGGTGTGATTAACATGTTAATTATTGTTATTGTGTTCTATCATGTTGCTAGTTGACATTGAACATGAACCTTTCAAGTCATGCAAGGACTTGTTCATCACAACTAGTGACCTCTACGCTATGATATCATTCTTTGACACCATTTTTTCTATTTTCATCCAAGCTACTCTTGATCTTTCAACCAAAAAAAAAATTCTCATTAAATTTCATGAAGTTTTTTTCATATTTATTCACATTTAAATCTTCACAACCTTGTTCCGTTTGCAATTCTACACCATACTTCACAATCAAATGAAAACTATTTCTCACTCCAAATCTTTCTCTTTTTTCTCACTTCACA